AATAGGCTGGATAAGTCCCTCAATGAACCTCCTCACCCTCTCTCTCTCGGTGGGAAGTATGATAAGAGCATGATGAGCCAAGTCGATGAATCTGGTCTCATACTAGGTAACAGTCATAGAACCCTGCTGGAGACGCTCAAACTGCCTCCGATATGCCTCTCTCTGAGTGATGGGGAGAAACTTCTCCAGAAATAGCTGAGTGAACTGCTCCCAAGTCAAAGCTGGTGATCCGGCTGGTCTAGCCAAGCAATAATCTCTCCACCAAGTCTTGGCGGATCCAGATAAGCGAAAAGTAGCAAAATCGACCCCATTGGTCTCCACTATCCCCATGTTCCTGAGAACCTCATGACAGCTGTCTAGATAATCCTGGGGATCCTCAGAAGATGCACCGCTGAAAGTAGTAGTGAAGAGCTTGGTGAACCTGTCCAATCTCCACAAAGCATCGGCAGACATAGCTGCTCCATCACTGGCCTGGGCTACCACACCCGGCTAAACTGCTCCAACTGGCGGAACTGCTGGAGTCTGAAACTGGGGAGCTACCTGCTCCGGAGTGCGAGTAGCAGGAGTCTGGGCTCCTCCTCCAGCCTGAGAGACGCCTGGTGCTACAGGAAGCAAGCCTGCCCGGGTGACACTCTCCATAAGGCCCACTAGACGGACCAGAGCATCCTGGAGTACTGGGGTAGCAATAAACCCCTCTAGGACCTGAGCTGGGCCTATCGGAGCTGCTGGGGCCAGAACCTCATCATCAAAGTCAACCTGAGGCTCCGCTGCTGGTGCTGCTGCTCGAGGCTGAGCTCTGCCCCTACCTCGGCCTCTAGCACGGCCTCGGCCTCGCCCTTTGCCCCTCGTGGGAGCTGCTGCTGGGGGCTCGGGCTACTGGTCAGCGGATGAGGAAGCGCGCGTTCTCAGCATCTGCGAGAGAACATAATAGAAATTCAATCAGCATTGAGAAACCAAACTGCACGACAGGAAGAAAAGATGTGAAATTTTCCTAACTCTGTAGCCTCTGGGGGATAAATACAGACGTCTCCGTACCGATCCCTCAGACTCTACTAAGTTTGTCTGTGAACTATGAGACCCATGTAACCTAGAGCTCTGATACCAACTTATCACGACCCGGATTTCCCACCCTCGGGAGTCGTGATGGCACCTACTAATGTGAGCTAGGCAAGCCAAATCTTTGACTACTTACCTCATTATCCAATTATTTCTTTTTAACAATTATAAGGCGATAACGTGATAACAGCGGAAATTCAGATTTAAGCGAAAGACAACAATAAAATGTATGAAGCCGAATCTATTACAAATACTTAAGCCTTAACCACCCAAAACCTGGTGTCACAGACTGTCTAAGATTACTACATATAAGGTCTGAAGAAATAACAGTACACTGTTTCTGAATAAAAGGAAAATGAAACAGGAAATAAGGATAGAGGGAGACGCCAGGGCCTGCGGACGCCTGCAAGTGTACCTTGGATCTCCGCGTGGACTGAAGGTAGCCTCCACACTACGGTCCAAAAGCTGCTCCGAGATCTGCACATAGTGCAGAGTGTAGTATCAGCACAACCGACCCCATGTGCTGGTAAGTGTCTAGCCTAACCTCGGCGAGGTAGTGACGAGGCTAGGACATGACTACCACATAAACCTGTGCAGTTCAAATATATACAGCGAAAAAGAAATACAGAAGTAAACAAGTAAAGATGGGAGGGGGAAACATGCTTCGGGGAATAACAGGTAAAAACAGAATATCAAAAGAATTATAAGGGATCAAAATCCAACCACTAACAAGAATAAGGAAACAAAAGCAGATTTCACTTTCTTTTCACATCTTGTTGCAGGCGTGCAACCCGATCCCATTTCCCGTATCTTGTGGCAGGTGTGCCACCCGCTCCCATTTTATTTATCTTGTGGTAGGCGTACCACCCGCTCCTATTTCATCATATCTTGTGGTAGGCGTACCACCCGCTCCTATTTCATTATATCTTGTGGTAGGCATACCACCCGCTCCCATTTCATTATATCTTGTGGTAGGCGTACCACCCGCTCCCATTTCATTATATCTTGTGGTAGGCGTACCACCCGCTCCCATTTACAAGCCAAGAATAATCACAAGGAATCCCGGCAAGGGAACAATCATATCAAACAAACATCCCGGCAAGGGAACAATGATATCTCAACGATATCCCGGCAGGGGAACAATAATATCAAACAAACATCCCGGCAAGGGAACAATGGTATCTCAACAATATCCCGGCAAGGGAACAATAATATCAAACAAACATCTCGGCAAGGGAATAATGATGATAATAACATGTGAGGCACAATAAACCACAACGGAGTCATAACAATTTATAACACAAGACTTACGGGCATGCATGACAGCGACGTATAGATACTCGTCACCATGCCTATACGTTGTACTCCACTATTAACACGTAGCAAATAGACACAACTCCTAATCCCTCAAGCTAAGGTTAGACCAAACACTTACCTCGATGCCACGAACACAATTCACGCTTCAATTATAGCTTTACCCCTCGATTCCACCACCAATTCATTCGTATCTAGTCACAAGTTACTTAATTACATTAATCAACGCTAAATGAATCAACCCCAATGCATGAAAACGAGTTTTCCAAAGTTTTACCCAAAAAGTCAAAAATCGCCCCCGGGCCCACATGGTCTAAACCCGAGGTTCGAACCAAAACCCGATCACCCATTCCCCCACGAACTCAAATATATAATATATTTTGAAATCGGACCTCAAATCGAGGTCCAAATCCCCAATTTTTGAAAAAAACCTAGGTTCTACCCAGAACACCCAATTTCCACATGAAAATTATTGATTTGAAGTTGAAATCATGTTAAAAGTTGCTAAGAATTGAAGGAAGTTAGTTAAAAATGACTTACAATTGATTTGGAGAAGAAGAAATCCTTGAAAAATCGTCTAAGTGTGTTTATGTTAGTGAAAAATGGGTTTTAAAATCGTCTAAGTATAAAAGTTGCAGGTCTCTGATATTGGAAGTGCGAACAGGGGTTCGCAATTGCGAACCTTTCAGAATGCTGGACTTTCGCATTTGCGAAAGAAATGTCTCATTTGCGACTTCCGCATTTGCGACACATTAGTCGCATTTGCGATCACTGGCCAAGCTGGGAAGCTTCGTATTTGCGAAGGGGAGCTCACATTTGCGAGGCCGCAATTGCGATGAATATATCGCATTTGCGATGGAGGGCAGGCCTGGGCTAGTTCGCATTTGCGACCAAGCCCTCGCATTTGCGATATCGCATTTGCGAGACAGGCGAAGCCTGCAGGCCTGATCATACCAGCAAAAATCCTGCAATTTTTCTAAGTTCAAAATACACCCCGTGGCCTATCCAAAACTCACCCGAGCCCTCGGGGCTCCAAACCAAACATGCACACAACCTCAAAAATATCCTACGGACTTATTCGTGCACTCAAATCACCAAAATAACATCATGAACATCGAATTAAACCTCAAGATCAATGAAATTTCTCAAAACTTCTTTAAACATCAAATTTGCATTTAAGGTCCGAATCACGTCAAACGGATTCCGTTTCTCACCAAACTTCACCGAATTATCTTAAATCATATATAAGATCTGTATCGGGCGCCGGAACCAAAATACGGGCCCGATACCAACATGTTCTAATCAAAATTCATTTCCAAACCTTATAAACAATTTCAGAAAATAATTTTTTTTAAAAATTCATTTCTCGGGCTTGGGACCTCGGAATTCGATTCCGGGCATACGCTCAAGTCCCATATTTTCCTACGGACCCTCGGGACCGTTAAATCACGGGTCCGGGTCCGTTTACCCAAAACGTTGACCGAAGTCAAATTAATTCATTTTATAGTCAAAATTTATTATTTTTCACAGAATTTCACATATAGGCTTTCCGGCTACGCGCCTGGACTGTGCACGCAAATCGAGGTGATGCTAAAAGAGGTTTTTAAGGCCTCGAAACGCAGAATTCGATTTAAAAACAAGTGATGACCTTTTGGGTCATCACATATGGGTATCATGATAAATTATGCACTTCATTTATTATTTTTTAAGTGGCGTGAAAAGTCAAAACGTGCCAAGTAAAAGTGAACGACGGGAGTATAATACAATAACAACAACCCAGTAATAATCCCACTAGTGGTGTTTGGGGAGGTAGAGTGTACGCAGACCTTACCCCTACCCATGAGGATAGAGAGGTTATTTCCGGGAGACCCTCGGCTCAAAAACAAAAAGAAGGGAGTATAATACCAATAGCAATAATAGCAAACTAACCTCGTTTTTATCTCACCACAGGTTTTGATTGCCAATAATGCCGTCCTAACAGGCTTCGATAGTTACTTTGCTGCATATATATGCAACGACAAGACAGCCTAAATTGGTAATGACGTGTTGCGGCCTAATTAGCTCGCCATAATGAGTTTCTTTCTCTAATCACTTTGATTAAGTTGATTTAAAAAGGCAAATTAAAAAGGCCATTACGTGTAAGAGATTGATCCAGATTGTGATACTTTACTTGTTTTTGCACTAGTGGCGCGCCAATTCACTGCTAAAAATACTGGAATTAGCTATGAACTTCGTCGCTAGTCTGTATATTGCTCATAATTAACATAATTTTATTGATAATATACCGTTAATTGATCGCTATATAGGAATAACGAGAAATTTTGCTATTTAGCTACATAATTTATCCGTTGTTAATTCCTAATCTTTTAGTAGTGTTTATAAAAAATGAACTCAAGATTGGTCATCTTCTTTATCAATCAATTCTTTCGTCCACATTTAGATAACTTAATTCGGTGTTTACGACCTTCAAGTAGTCTACGTTCTACATTTATTTGGCATTGGTTGTTTCTTTTTTGCTTTGTGGTAAAAAGTTGATATACTACGTTATAAAGCTGAACTAAAAAACTGCCAAGAAACTTCTTGAAAAAAAGAAAGAAAAAATGTGACAATTTATCTTCTGACTTTCGAGATAATAAAATTAAGTATTTAAGGAAAATAGAAGAGTATTCTAAAATTTACTGATAGTGAAATTTTTTTCCACAGTCAGTATACAATACATATATACATATAATTTAAATCCTCGTTCACTAATTAAGTACAAAGAAATTTCAATATATTCATAAGTAGTGGTCTTGGCAATAATGATTCTTTTCAATCAAGGAGTAGAAGTTTAATTTAATCAATCATCTCTACTACTGCAGATTGATTATCTGTCTTCTTGCTGCTTTTTATATCACCATAGAAGTAGGAAATGAAGCCCCAAATAGAAAGTGCAAGAGAAACACCTTTTTCTGCTGTGAAATTTTCGCCATAAAAAATGACGGCTAAAACTTCAGTAACAGGAAGTAGAACAGTAATCAAAATGGCAGAAACCAGAGATGAAGAAGAATAGACAACTCCAATGGCGCCTAAGAAGAAGCATTGCCAAATAATTGCAGACCATACTATCACTATATAATATCTTCCTTCTCCAAGTTCAAATGCTTTTGCCTCCCGTGAAATTGCCTGCAAGTTTAACTACTTACTAACGAACACCCTTATTATAATAATATATTGGCACATCCAACTAACGGATTTTTTTTCACATTATCTGATCATCTAAAAAATATGTATACGGTTCATAATACGTGAAATTAGTAACTTGAAAAAGAAAAACTGACAACCTTCTACAACAAACTAAATTAAACTGATAGTGTAGATATTCTTTGTTATTGTCAGTGTATAATTGTATACTATAAATTATCTTATATATGACTTTAGTCTCAAAATTGTACTTGTCATGCCTATATATTAGCCAATGCTCAATTTTATTATCTGATGTCCTGACTCTCTCTTTCAATTCAACTGAAAATTATTTCGAATTTGCAACAATAAACATTTATGTCTGGGGACCTGAGAACCAAGGTGAGGCCCTTGTCGACATCATAATTATTGAGAAAAGAATAAAATGGATTTATTTTAATCGAAATTTAAACGAAATAAAAGCAAAATTTTCAAAAAAGCAACAAATCTTTGTCCCTTACCAACTTATGCAAAGAGTAATATGAACATTTAGATACAAAATTACCTAAATTTAGGCAGTGTGTCTAATTAATTTTGCATTTGCGTTTAGTTTTTCTTTGTCTATATGTGGGAGAGAGAACCAGATTTTTCTAACCATCTTATACAAATAATGTAATTAATATGAACATTTAGGTAAAAATTACCTAAATTTAGGCTACTATTTGTCCGTGCATGCGCACGTTTGTGCGTAGAAACACTTTTCCCTTACCATATTCTATATTTTGTAATTGTGTGATCTCTCATTTAAAAACATAAATTTTTAGAGAGAATAAATTTTCAATTACTTAATTATATTATATCTCAACAAGTTTTTTTTTATGTGTGAACCTGATTCTTTTTCGTGAGTTAAGATGTGAAAATATTTTTTGCTTTATTAGATGATGTTTGAATCAGGATCTCTTGACTACTATAATATTATTACTGAAGTTGTGTGACTAATTTATCTAAAAGCTTAAGCTATTAAAAGTCTTACTTTAAATTTATATTGGCTAAGCAATACATACATATACTAATCTAAACAATTGGATACAAATATACCTGAATTTACGCTAATATTGAGTATTGACTCGATTGTCCCCGAATAATTTTTCTTTTTTCCGATTTTTTTTTTTCAAATTAAAATGTATTTGTCCATGAAAAGTTGAAAGTTTGTGGAGATTTTTCAAAAGTGAGTTTTTCAAAAACTAAAAAGTGATGTCGACTACTCTTTCAAGTTTTTCGGAAAAAAGTTTTTTCCCTACTCACAAACTGCAATATTTTTTTTAAGTGAAATGCATGTCCAAACATAATTTCAAATTCCAACTACCATTTTTTAACTTAACTCCAAAAATTACAATTTTTATGTGCAAACACCTACTATGTGTGTATTTCCGCATTTGTTTGTGTCTCTGAATGTGTTAGAGAAACAGTTGAGGGTTTGATCTATAACCAGACTTATAATCATTTTAGTTGCCAATAATTTCAAGGATTAAATCAATAAAAATCTTCTAAACAGAATAGAAAGAATCAACCACAACAAACTGTAATGATAAAATTAATGATTTAATTTTCGGGACACCTTAATTATCATGACAAATGATATATTACGTTGAAGTTGCATAGTATGTACTCCATATGTTTCATATTAGATGAGGTACTTTCCTTTTTAGTCCGTTTCAAAATATTTTTAAATTTGAAAATAATTCAACTTTAAACTCTTTCATTTTACCCATTTACCCTTAATAAGAAGTTTTTATAGCCACACAAATGTCATGGCCCCACAAACTTTTTACCCCTTAAGCTTTAAAACCACAAGTTTCAAAAGTATTTTTTTTTTAAACTCCGTGCCGAGTCAAACTACCTCATCTAATATGAAACGGACAGAGTACGTAAAAGATGGAGAGAAGGTAAAGTGGAGAGCATTCAGATTCATAACAGAGAAATTATATTACCTGAAAGTCTTTGTTTATTATCATCCCAATTGTGCAAACCACAGTAGCAAAAAAGCAATACACAGCTTGAATCTCCAACACAAGTGTGTAACTTATTGTTTGCTTTGCCTTTTTGTATAACAATTCAAACAAAGGCAAAATAAGTCCATACAAAGCTGCAGCTCCAAGTGTCAACATAAACCCTAAAATGTACTCCTTTTTCGACTCCCCTTTCGGCCTGTCGCTTTTCACGTGGAGAGCCAATACAACCGCGCCAAGTGTTAGAAGAAAAATGGAATTGATGGAGTATGCGGAGAACTTTTGTTTCACAAGAAGGAAAGCAAAGCCGGCCGTGAAAGCAAGTTGTGAAGCAATGAGAAGTGCTGACGTGGAGACGGGTAATTTCGCCACGCCATAAGCATAGAGATAGTTGTCGATTCCGCTTAGGATTCCCAACCCGACGGCAGCTATAAAAATCCTAGGAGTCATTAAAATGAGCTTTGTATTATTTTTGTTGTTATTGTTATTCTGGACTGTCAATGATATTCTACCTTGGGAATATTTGCGAAGATTGAAGTAGGAGATGGCTAAAGGGATGAGAATAATTGGCCAAGCACTAGTTTGTAGCCAACTTGATAGCCAAATTCTTTTGCCTCCTTTGATGAAGTAAAGGCGCGAGATCAAAGGGCCACCACAATTTCCTATAGATAGAAATATAGAGTTTAGAACTAGAAGAAATTTCTTCATTTTTGAGTTTACTTGAGGTTCCATTTTCTATGTAGAATTGAAGATTTTCTTCTTATGTTGAGTAGTAATTTGTGATGTGTGGACATACATATATATAGATATATAGCACAGGAGCTAGAGCTTCGATACAGGTTCAGCCAAACCTAATAGCTTTAGTGCAAACTGTATATTTGTTTTAAGACATTTATTGAATAGGTGCAAATTTTTTTTTAGAACCCAACAACATAAAAGGCTAGAATCTCGAACCCCGTAATTTTAAATACCGGCTTTGCCTATATATATAGTCGTCTTTGAATAATCGACAGTGCCAATGTCTTGTGTGCCAAAGTTTCAACTTTGTAGTCCGCATAATTATATTTCATTTTCCTATTTTTTTGTTTTTGTGTTTGGAATTAAATACAAGAATTAAATTTTCTAACAATGATATTGCGGAAAATGACGGATATTCCGATGTCTGCTTAGTAATTCATATAACTGAACATTTTTCGTCGAAAATATTTGTTGATCTTCCGACAGATTATTCTCCGTTGGAAGAACCTCCAAAATTCGGTAATTTCTGATAGTAAATCCGCAATTAATATTTCCCTTTTACATTTTAATGAATTGACAATTAAATACACTGCAAAAGGCATAATTTTTCCGTTCATGGTGTAGAAATACACGCCAAGAAACCGAAATATTCGCACTTATAATGTTATTTTTAACTGATGCTGAACTACAGCTTGTTATTTTTGGAAAACGTCTAAAAATTGATTATTCAATCTTTATAATCTATAATAATCATATGAATTGGACGTTGATATATATATAAAATTTTTTTTTTGCCGATTTGAAGAGTTTTTTTCCACGATAAATTAAACCATGCAACTTTTAATTAATTCAGATACCGAAAACAAACAGCCTTCACACATAATATGTTGAATGCCTTGCTATGTAGCAACACGTCACAAACTTTTGCGACTACTTCAAATACCTAATACAATATGCTTTTAAAGAAAGCTGAAAGGTACAACTTAAATTTTTTTACTATAGTGGAACTAGAATTAAAGACAGACACATGAAACTTGTTCTTCAATTTGGTTCATGTAGCTTAAGGTTCGCACCCCTTATAAAGCTCTCAACTTTCCTTTTCTATTCTGATATGGGATTCATATAAGGTGTCATGTGCACAACTTTTTCACAAGCTTGCCGAAGCTTATCAGTCGTTCTTTCTGACCCGCCCTTCGTCATTGGGCGTCACACTTACGTATGGCAACAAAAATATTGTTTGGCTTGTACTTTTTTCTTCTTTTTTCTGTTATTTTTCTCCTTGGGCCATATGGTTTCCTAAAAGAAAAAAGAAAACGCAGAAACTTTATAAGCTCACAGTCGTTTAGTTCTATAATCTTTTACTAAATTGTCATTCTTTTTGTTTTTCTGACATCACTGCGTCTTGCTGAATGACTTTCTGACTATTCATTTCCCTTTCGTCTTTATTATCTTTATTGACCAAAAATAGTCATAAAAAAACAAAAACAAAAAAGACGAAACTAGAGTCTAAAATAGGATAAATGATATTGTCATGTGTTTGGAAAAGATGGAAAAGAAATGAAAATGGAAGATGGACAAAATTCAAAAATATTCCAGATCTATCTAAATTAAGAAATGAAAGAAACTGTCATTTTTCACAGTACCAACTTTACGTATTTGTCCAAATAAAGACAATGTTCCCACAGGTTATAGAGGTTTTTTTTATTAAGAAATGAGAGCAAAATACAATAATGGAGACAAGATATAGGAGGAGAACGTAGAAGTTATCTTATTCAAGTGTGTTTCTTGTGTGTCTTCCATAGGAGTATACATCCTATTTATAGGTTACAAAATGTCTTCTCAAATTACATGTATTAATGAACTCATTCATTTGGTGTATGAATTCCCAAAGACAACGGAAAGAACATCTACATACATTGGAAGGACATCCACATACTTTAGATTTATAACACTCCTCCTCGGATGTCCATAGATAATGTGTCTCATTAAAACCTTACTAGGAAAAATCCGGTGAAAAAAACCTATTGAAGGAAAAAGAGTACACATATCTTGTAATACGCATTGAGTGCTGCCTCTATTGGAGACTAGTGAGTGAGTTAGGGTAATTTGGTCATTTCTCACTTACATTAAAAGAGTCGGTTATGTACTCTATTAGTAGACAGATATTTTGTATTTGTACATATGAACAGAGATTGAGAAAAACAATTTGAGTTCCTCTTTTCTCCTCTTCACTCCTTCTCAATTCACATCTCAGTTCTTATCAATGGATGAAATCATAGATTCCATCATGGTATCAAAGCGACCGATTCTGGATTAGAGCAGAGGATTTCGAGATTGATTAGGAAACCATAGTTGAACTTCGAATTCTAGGGTTTCAATAGCTATGGGAGAATCAGTTGGAAATATTCAAACTGATCACAATCATCCACTTTTCTTACAGGCTACAGACGTTCATAGTATAGCGTTGGTTGATATCAAGCTTACAGTCCCAGAAAATTATGCTCTATGGAGCCGCTCGATGCGTCAAGCGCTGCTAGTCAAAAACAAGCTAGGGTTCATTGACGGAATCTGCTTGAAGAGCTCCTACAAAGGAGATTTGGCAAACTGGTGGGAACGATGCAACGCCGTGGTGCTCTTATCGATTGGGCGCACAGTCACCGCTGAATTTCAACCTAGTATCATCTACGCTTCAAATGCGAGAAAGGTATGGAACGACTTCAATGAGCGGTTTGAGAAATCAAATCTTACCAGACTTTATCACTTGCGGACATCAATTGGAGCCTTGAAGCAAGCTACTGACTCTGTAACTCAATACTACTCAAAATTGAAGGATTTATGGGACGAGATGGACTTGATGATACCTACTTCAGGATGTGATTGTGAAGATAATAAACCTTTCATCGAACAATTTAGAAACCCGCACTTACTACAAGTTTTGGTCGGCCTAAATGAATCATACAGTCATGTTCGAAGTGATGTGTTACTTAGAAGTCCTACACTAACTGTGAATCAAGCATATGCTCTAGCTATACAGGAAGAGAGTCAACATACACTGGGAATGGACAACACTGATAGAGAACCCTTAACCATGCTAGCTCGTAGAGGGCAAGGTTTCAAACCTAAGAAGCTAGGGTTGATTTGTGAACATTGTGGGTATAAGGGACACTTGGAGGAAAATTATTACAGGATCATAGGATTCCTTCTGATTTCAAAAGTAAGAAGAAAGCTCAAGGAGTAGGAGGCAGGTCTTATGCCAACCTTTCTATTAGTGAGGCAGAAGGTTCCAATAGCAAGCAATCGCAAGGGAACTTTCTCACAGAAGAGCAATACAAGAAATTGATGAACCTCCTCAACAAATCTCAATCAAATGACTGTCACTTATTGATGGCAGGTATAACTTCCTTATTGACAAAAACATCCAATTGTGATTGGACAATAGATACTGGGGCATCTCACCATATTACCTCACATAGGGAGCTTTTAAATGACATAAAGACCAATCAGAGACAACAAAATGGAGGAGTACAAGTACCAACTGGAAACAAGTGTTCAGTGACACATAGAGGAAATGTAACTGTTCTAGAGAACCAGACTCCTAAGAATGTGTTACATGTTCCAGATTTTAAGTTCAATTTGCTCTTAATATCAAAGTTGACTAGGGAACTATGTTGTTATGCTATATTTTTTCCTGACTTCTGCATATTTCAGGGTCTTTACAATGGCAAGGTGATGGGGATTGGTAAGAAAAATTGTGGACTGTATCTATTGCAAAATGAAATAAGATCCTCATCAGCTTTTGTCACAAAGGAGATTGAAGATTCAACCTTATGGCATATGAGATTGGGGCACCTTTCAATAACTACAATGCAACACGTTCCTTCCTTAAAGAACAGGGTAGACAATAAGGTTCAACATCTTTGTGAAATCTGTCAATTAACCAAACAAAGTAGAGTTAAGTTTCCCATTAGTTGTGGTAAAACTGAACATGTTTTTCAGCTTATACATGTCGATGTCTGGGGACCTCATAATATTCCTACAGATGATAGAAATTTGTAACGGTTGTGGATGGCTTTAGTAGATATACTTGGATATATTTGTTACAGTCTAAACTGATTCTATGGTAAAGAATCAATTTGGTGTATGTGTTAAAGTGCTAAGATCTGATAATGGGACATAGTTTTTTTTAACTCTAGTTGCAGGGAACTTATGGCTTCTTTAGGGGTTGTGCATCAAAGCAGCTATCCATACATCCCCCAACAGAATGGGGTGGTGGAGAGGAAGCATAGACGTATTCTTGAAGTTGCTAGGGAACTAACGTTCCAAATCTCAATTCCAAATAGATTTTGGGTTGATTGTGTAAAAACAATAGTATATCTGATTAACAAATGGCCTACCTCTATTCTAGGAGGAAATCTCCTTTTGGAATGTTGTACAAAAAGCCACCAAAAATTGAACACCTTAGGGTATTTGGTTGTTTATGCTTCACCAGCAACTTGCCAAAAGGGGATAAGTTTGACAAAAGAGCAAGGAAGGCTGTTCTGATTGGATATTGAGGGACACAAAAGGGGTATAGATTATATGACTTGGAGGTTGAAAAGTTTCTTGTTAGTAGATATGTGACATTCAGAGAGCAGTTGTTCCCTTTCAAAGGATTACAATCAGATCTGGAGGACATCTTCCCTCATGAGATTCTAGTTGACTTGAGTCTTGAACTTTTGCCATCCACTTCATCACCTACATCAGAAGACTCTTCTCTAGAAGAGTTACAAGTAGACATTGAACATGTAGTTGAACATGATAATCAAATAGAGAATCTAGAAAACTCAGGCACAAAAGCAGCTGAAAGTTCACAGGATTATGCTGAGATAGATGCAACTGGAAATTCAGAAGCTTCAAAAGATTTACAAACCTCTGCAGACACTCAACAGACCAATGAGATTGCAAGACAAACTTCTAGGGACACTCAACTGACAAGGAAAACAACAAGATCCTCTAAACCTCCTATTTGGCTAAATGACTATGTCACTACAAAAAAGGTTAGAAGTAGTTGTA